CACCACGGCTGTTTCTGTAGCCAACTTCTTCTCTACAAGCATCCGACTGCGGTACACTATAAAAGAATAAGAGCCCTAATGAAACCGTCCATCTATGAGATCAAGAAATAATGGGCTTGTGTTGACTCATCAATACATTGGAAGGCATAAAAAAACTTCAGTTTAAAATTTGGTACCTCTGATAAGCACTTCTAAACAAGACATGTCATGCAAGCTCAATTCTAAAGCGCCCTCAATCAAAAGGGTGGTAGATTGTGCTAGTTAGTACACCATGACCAGAAATAAACGCAAGAGATAAGAATGGACGCAGACAAGTGTTAATTTTTAACTGAGCTTCATTGTGAAAAGAGAGATATATATATGTGAGTAAAGGCCCACACGCATCAATCGCAAATCAACAAAAAGAACAGCACATGTAGAAATATGAAATGTGAGAAAAAAAAGAAAAAAGAAATAGTCATCGAAAATCCAAAACTAACCCAACCAATATCACCTGCACCTTCCGAAAACACAAATCCTTAATCACAAAGAGTGAAACAGATGACTTGTTCACGCAGGAGCATCCCTCCCACTTTATCTGAGCCAGCTCTACAATGATACAAGTGCGCTTATTATTGTGCCAGAGCAGAGCAAAGTAGCAGACGCATTATCAAACACTGGATTACACCCACACTGAATGTAGTGAAAAGCCAGAAAACTATCTCTTATTCCAGACGTTATTAGTAGAGACCGGATTATAGGCAAAAGCCTATTTTGTTCCTTGTGTTCCTATCATGCCACTTTGTTATACAAGCATAAATTAGAGGTTAAAGGGACACTAATGGCAAAAAACAATTTATGTCAGAGTGAAGGCTTAATGTATAACAATTTCTGAAACGGAACTTGTTATCAACAGCAGTGCCTTACTTACCAAGAAACTAAGCTAAATGTATCACATAATGTACACCACGAATGGGAAATCTGCAAAATAATACCAATGACAGGAGAGCATCCACCTAAAATTAATCACTAGTAATCAAACTAGCTGCAATAAAAAAAAGAGCTTTCTGTCCATCAAGAGATGTAATAAAATGCTGCTTGTCTGTTTCTGTATGACTTATAAAAAAAATCACAGCATATCCACAGAGTGATTGATGATTGGTGGGGCGAAGCGTTCGTCAGTCCTCCCGCGCTTTCGTCCGCACACTCGTTCTTGCTTCCGTTTGTCCATGCATCCATCCGTGCGTCCGTCCGTCCGTGCATCCCCCCATGCGTCCAACCGTACGTCCGTTCTTCTGTCTGTCCGTGTCCGTCAGTCTATCCGTATGACAATCCGCCCATCCGTCTGTCCAGTGAACACTCCACGATGGATGAAAGAACACGACATAATGAGACTCATACAGGCATTTGTTATCAGTCGCGTAACCTATAGCTTTCCTTACCTGAGGGTCTTGAAAGCAGACGAGCACAAAATAGAGAGTCATACGTGTGACTCTCAAGAAGGCTCTGAACCTTCCCCCGTGGACACTCACGGAACGTCTGCTTCAAATGGGGCTCCACAATACCGTATCAGAACAATTCCATGCACACCACACGAACCAAGTTGTGCGCCTCACCATCACTAAAATGGGACGGAAAACACTACCAGAACTTGGCATCAAAGCCCCCCATTGAGAGAAGGGGAAAACAACATATTCCAGATGAATGGAGGCAGGACTTCATCATCAAACCACTACCACCCAACATGCATCCTCAGTTCCACGAACATCAACGTCGGGCACGGGCAAAAGTTCACGACAACTACTCAGATAATGAGGGCGCCTTCTTTATCGATGCAGCTGGACCAGTGAACGGCAAATATACAGCAAGCGTCATTCATTGTGGAAAACAGGTTTATTGTATATAAGCCCAGAACACAAACACAACTAGTATGAAAGAAGCAGCAATCACCCTCTTCCTATGACACCGGAGGTCCACCTTCGTTCTAACAGATTCAAAAGCAGCCTACTGAAATTTTTGTAAAGGCTACAATGGCCCCATTGCGCATCGACTTCTTACGCAACTCTCATCCTCACGCTCAAACGATGAACGGAAACAGCTGATATGGACACCCGTCCACTGCGGAGTTAGAGGCAATGAACTCGTCCATGCCTCGGCCCGAGAATCACTCTTCCGGACCTCCGACCCCGGCATATCGCACCCACCCTCGGATATGCGCATGGACCCGCTCCTAACATGGGCAGGTATTTTGGAACATCAAAAACTTGAAAGACGGAAAACACTGCCCCCGGAGCCAAAGCTCAGAAAAAAATTTTACGTAGCGTGGCGTCGCCTGTAGACCTTGTCTTACCCCAATCCATACAAACTGTCCAAGATAGATCCCGTCACATACGCACCACAGTGCAGGTTCTGCGTCACTAAAACAGCCAACCTATACCACATGGTATGGGGATGTCCACACAATCCACTTCTACAAACCAGCGCACAGCAAAACACTGTAGGGTGGGAGGCAGCTCTGTTGAGCTCAGATGCGAAGAGCCAAAAGGCCCTCGTGAGACGAACGAGGGCCGCGGCTCGTGCCTATGGGATACCGGACTAAGTATCCCACTCACCGACATTCCTTCCTCGGTCACAAATAAATGTTTTATTCTGTCTCTCTACGATGAAAAGATTGAAGATAATGGTACTTGGAGTGTTCACTAGACGAAAAGACATACAGACAGAAAGGTGGACAGATGCACTGATGGACAGATCGATCCACGCTTGGATGGACAGATGCACGTATGAACACACGGATGCTTCGCCCCACTCATCATTATTCAGTCGGTAGATATGCTGCGATTTTTCTTTTGTTTTTGCTCATATGCCATATTCGTACATTTGCTGCTTTTTATGTTGATGTGTGATTGACGCATATGTGCCTTAACTCACATATATATACCTCTCGTATTATAACAAAGCTGAGTTAAAATTAGCACTTGTCTGCGTCTCTTTTCTCATCCCTTGTGTTTGTTTTCATGTTTATACGTTTATGCTTCTAATCATATTCACATTTTTATGCAATGTATGCAAGGTGCAATACTCATGGCTGTGCCATTACCAGATTTTCCATGTATGAAAGAGAAATAGCTATATGCCCCCCACATTCCATTTCATTCCCACTGGTCAGGATGTAGTTTCTCTGTTGACCGGCAAACGTCAAGAAAAAATCATCTCTGGTTCTGTCCACGGCATTCAAGACTGTACATTATTGAGACTCCTTGAGGGCTACCAGTTGTGGGAATTGAGGCTAGCCCGCTGCCTTTGCGCGGGCTTTGCCACTTTTTCTGCCGTTCTCATGTCCCAACATGTCTCCCCTCCTCCGCTGTCTGCGGCCGTGATTATGTTTACATTTCGCGCACGTACTTACGCCAGGTTCACATCCGTGATGTGCTTCTTTGTTCTGGTGTTTAGAAGACTAGTGGTGTCACTGTAAACAGTGACAATAAATGTATTACATCGGTGCGCAGTTGTCCAGAAATAAACGAGCTCCAGTTCAAAATTGCCCCTTTCTATATTTGAGTAGAACACAGTGGCCACTTGATGTCACCAAGCTAGAAACACAACCGTGGCAATCCTTGCACACTCTATTGCTTGAGCCGTACTTTTAAGTTAACAAAGTGCGTGCGAATATGCATAAACTTTCAATTTCGACATGCGTCTAGACGAGCCCCAGCGAATTTGACTTTCACCCTTCTGCTATACCACCATGATTTCCACCAAAGGTTAATCCTACCGACCGAGCCTGTACAAGTGTTATCGGCGCTTCTGGGTTTCAGAATACACAATTTTGACGAGCAAAAATGATAATACAACACAGCTGCGGCATCATTTAACCTAAATGAAGCCTTTTTTATTGTGTACGGTGTCCGCGCAAGCAGCGACAAACATAGATGCGACGCGCTTGCAGCACTTCCGCCAAAGGTACGCCTCCCCTTACCGATAGCCGCCAATCAAACTCGCCGACATTTCGCTGGCTCTTATGCGAGAAAATAGACACGTCAATTCGTACGCTTACTGAACCAATATGATAGCATGAGGTTTCTGGTGCACTGCATTCGTTTTGGCCAAGCCGTTATGTAGTTCCAAATGACAGAGCAACAGCGGTGCGCTGGCACGACTGCGCTGTGCGTTGCACGAAAAACATCACAATCAATTGTGTGGGCATATTTGTCAAATGAGCATAGAAGCGTCATAAAGCCTGCATAGACATCGCACCTTGGAAGGAGCGAGCAACGGATATTAAACTTGGCAGTAACCGCCAATAAACTCTACCTGCTCCTCAGTCCACCGAGTTGTTTATTTTCCTGAGGTTGTAAATTGTAACGAAAACATAGCGCTGTTGCCATTATCGCAGTGGCAATTGTTACAGGCACCACTTGTTCATGTTCATCAAATGTGCGAATGTTAGTAGCAGGTGCAGATCCCATCAATCTCGGGTAAGCGACAAAGAAAACTGAAGTGTAAGAGTGAGTTTGAGAGTTGACTAATTCTTTAACACCACAACTGGCATCTGTCAGCGTGGCGCAGTGGTTAGTGTGCTCAGTTAGAAATTCGAAGGTGGCAGGTTCGATTCCGCGCTGTCGCAACTTTTTTTTTTGCAGGTGCTTTCAACATGGTTTTTTATACAATAATTTTTATTATTGCTCTAGTGGCAGCTCGTTCCGGCGGTTCTAACGCTGCTTCGCTCTCCAGCACTGCCGGCTAGAGCGTGCCATCCACCATCTGCTCCACTATACGCCACCATACACCAAGTGCCACCAACATTTCCACTGCCATAATCCACCAAAATGGTGGATGGTGGAATCCACCATTCCTATGGTGGATGTTTTTTCAATAGGGGTAGATGTATAAGATACCCTGTAAGTTTTTTTTATGATGACGAATGGATTTTCTATGGAAGATGGACATAAAAATGAAAAATAGTGAATTAAAGTAGGGTTCACAAGATGACAGCTGGTGCTATAATGCGGACCTCTTACAGTCATTTGGTTTGGATGGTACAGGCTTCGGAGCTAAAGCTGGCAACTTCTCAGGTGGCTCATCAGATGACCTTCCAGCTGTAAGGGCCTCTTCTCTTCTTTTCCTCTTGTAAGGTGTGTAAAGACGAACTGGCCCACTCTGGAAATGGAACAGAATTTGTAAGACAGCCTACTGCATAGCCATACGCATGGAAATAATAAACAATAGCTTTAAACAAGCACCATGAAAGTGTAAACAGCACAGTAGTCACAAGGGTGGAACAAGGTGCATGCGTTTGAGAGCACTCCAGGAAGTGCTTTTAGTCGCAGGCAAAAAGTTCTATTTGTAGCAGGCTTGAAGCAGCCAGAAATACGTTTTCGAGCCGGCTTATAGCAGCCAGAAGCGACTTTTCAAGCAAGTTTAGAGAGCTAAGAACACTCAAAGCATATTTATCCCATTCAAAACACTTGAGAAGCTGCATTTGTTCAATGCTGTATTTTTTTTAACTCAGCTAAATTGTGCAATATAATGATAATTGCAAAATTATATGGACACACCCGACAAGTTCTTGCCATTTCCGTCAAGTACCATATAAATTCGAAATTTATAACATACTCCCGCGCATCGTGTGTTCTATTTGTGAGTGAAAGCGCGTGAACGGGGCGACGAATGCGACTGAAGCAGAGGTCAAACGATCCAGCCGATCTCCGTCACTCGGAGGGCGCATGCGATAGCATGTGATATTCCCACCCGGGAGGTTTGTAGTTGAAGCGGAGAGGAGGAACTTGACCCATCTTGGATGAGCATTTAAAAAAAAACAATGAGCGAGGAGGGGGGAGAGATGTTCAAGCTACAACTATGAACTTTGCTTCTAAGGGCGTAGTCGCAATCGCTGGTGTCCCGCTAGTTCAGCCACTATCAGCGGGCGACTCGCGTACACTTATACGTGCTGCACTCTCATCACGAAGAGAATGTTTAGAAAGTGTTGGTCTCCTTAACCCGGTCGTATTCTGAAACACCAGCGTTACGTACAGTTACGTGGAAACTGATCCAAATGAGTAAGCTGCCAGTCTCACTTCGTATAACCTTACAATTTGCTGCTATCGCATTCACTGCTCCACATTTGTGGTGCAACTGCGACTCTTAGTCATGTACAACCGCCCATATTTATCTTTTTTTGTTTTTACCTGAACACAGGATCGTCAACGGACGAGTCGATAAGCACAAAGCACAGTGGCCAAATGAACAAGAATATGTGCATACGCTCAATGAGCAGTCATGTGGGCGGTGCACCGGTCTTTGCTAGGCTGTTGGGGAAATCGACACCACCCCCGTCTTTTGAGTGCCGTTACTACCATCCTTGATTATTTTTCCAAATGCTGTCATCATTTAAAAAAAAAACTGATTCACCGGAATAGTGAAACAATGAATCCGATTGCAACAAATTGTAAGGCTGGCAGCTGACTACTCTCTTAGATCTGATACCGCGTAACAAAACGGGGAGAGATGCTCTTCTCCCCGTCTCTTCACGTTGAGAGCGCAGCACGTGTAAAACTTCACGAGCTATTCGTGCTGATGTTTGTTGTGATTGCGTGCCCATAGTGATCATGACCACGCCCTTAGAATCAATGTTTACAGCTGCTCCTAGGAACAGCCACCACAACCTTTACGAAACCGAAACTATAACAATTTCGATCAAATCAAAAGGACAATGTTTCAGCCACTTTTTCATCCACAGTGTTGATGGCTTCCAAATTTTGCGGCTGATCGAATTCTGGTGCTGCGGCGCAGTACAGCACTGATATGCGAGTTTGGCGCAGCAGCTCACATTGTCGCGATCCACGAGCAAGGAAGCCTCGACGGTGTTCTTTGGCAGCTCGTATGTTGGTAGAGTACCGGGAACGAAATGCAGGCCGTGGGAAGCTTGAACAGTATTCTCAAAGGACAGGAGCCCGTGCGTACTATGGCCACAATGTGGTAGCATGGTGTCCGTTGAGTGATGCCCTGGAACGGCAGGGGAGGCATGGACGCCGTCTCCGGATGTTCCGATGAACAGCTCAAGCGGCGGCCGGATTGATGACTCCATCGCCAAGAGAGCGTGGACGGCGTTCCTGAATAGAGCAGCCCGCACTGCCGACGACCCACGAGGCTAGCGTCAGTGTGTACTTCAGTGGTCCATTCATCATTGAAGTGACTCAGTACTGGGCAGTGAGTGAGCCTTTGTTTTATCGTCCGAAAAGCAGTTTCTTGCGCGGCGCCCCATTCAAACTGGATGCCCTTTTTTAAGGAGATTGCTCAAGGGAGCTGAAATCGAAGCGAAGTGGGAATGAACCTCCGCAAGTAAAATGCCCTACCCATTAAAGATTGAAATTGCCTCACGCTGGCTGGTGTTGGATATTCCAACACTGCTGCGATGCGCTCTGGGAGTGGCTGTATACCATCGGGGGAAATGTTGGCAAGAGAGCCTCCGCAGTCTCGATACGAAGGCCGGAGCTCTATACGACCGTGATCGATTGTGATCTAGATGTTGTCTGCCAGTAGAAAATCCGCGCCCAGAATTATGTTTTAAGTATAGCTTTTTCCCAAGAGCTATCAATGAATGGAATTCGTTGAGCAATAAAGCCGTTTTATGCTCATCCATAGATATGTTTTTAAAACACCTGGCACACATTCTTGTTTGTAACTAATAATGCTTTATTAGTCTCTGCATGCTCTAATGCATTTAAAGGTCAAGTTCATGGTTGTGTTTTTTTTTCTTTTTGGATGACTTCATTGTTGTCCTCTAGCTTATTACTTTTCATTATATTTGTTAACTATATTCTGTTTTTTTAGAGGGATCACTATGTTTTCATGTACTTCTTTTCTCACTCCTAGCCCTATGTAACGCAGGCAGGCAGGCAGGCAGGCAGGCAGGCAGGCAGGCAGGCAGGCAGGCAGGCAGGCAGGCAGGCAGGCAGGCAGGCAGGCAGGCAGGCAGGCAGCAGCAGGCAGGCAGGCAGGCAGGCAGGCAGGCAGGCAGGCAGGCAGGCAGGCAGGCAGGCAGGCAGGCAGGCAGGCAGGCAGGCAGCAGGCAGGCAGGCAGGCAGGCAGGCAGGCAGGCAGGCAGGCAGGCAGGCAGGCAGGCAGGCAGGCAGGCAGGCAGGAGGCAGGCAGGCAGGCAGGCAGAGGCAGGCAGGCAGGCAGGCAGGCAGGCAGGCCGGCAGGCAGGCAGGCAGGCAGGCAGGCAGGCAGGCAGGCAGGCAGGCAGGCAGGCAGGCAGGCAGGCAGGCAGGCGGCAGGCAGGCAGGCAGGCAGGCAGGCAGGCAGGCAGGCAGGCGGCAGGCAGGCAGGCAGGCAGGCAGGCAGGCAGGCAGGCAGGCAGGCAGGCAGGCAGGCAGGCAGGCAAGGCAGGCAGGGCAGGCAGGCAGGCAGGCAGGCAGGCAGGGCAGGCAGGCAGGCAGGCAGGCAGGCAGGCAGGCAGGCAGGCAGGCAGGCAGGCAGGCAGGCAGCAGGCAGGCAGGCAGGCAGGCAGGCAGGCAGGCAGGCAGGCAGGCAGGCAGGCAGGCAGGCAGGCAGGCCGGCAGGCAGGCAGGCAGGCAGGCAGGCAGGCAGGCAGGCAGGCAGGCAGGCAGCAGGCAGGCAGGCAGGCAGGCAGGCAGGCAGGCAGGCAGGCAGGCCGGCAGGCAGGCGGCAGGCAGGCAGGCAGGCAGGCAGGCAGGCAGGCAGCAGGCAGGCAGGCAGGCAGGGCAGCAGGGCAGGCAGGCAGGCAGGAAGGCAGGCAGGCAGGCAGGCAGGCAGGCAGCAGGCAGGCAGGGCAGGCAGGCAGAGCAGGCAGGCAGGCAGGCAGGCAGGCAGGCAGGCGGCAGGCAGGCAGGCAGGAAGGCAGGCAGGCAGGCAGGCAGGCAGGCAGGCAGGCGGCAGGCAGGCAGGCAGGCAGGCAGGCAGGCAGGCAGGCAGGCAGGCAGGCAGGCAGGCAGGCAGGCAGGCAGGGGCAGGCGGCAGGCAGGCAGGCAGGCAGCAGGCAGGCAGGCAGGCAGGCAGGCAGGCAGGCAGGCAGGCAGGCAGCAGGCAGGCAGGCAGGCAGGCAGGCAGGCAGGCAGGCAGGCAGGCAGGCAGGCAGGCAGGCAGGCAGGGCAGGCAGGCAGGCAGGGCAGGCAGGCAGGCAGGCAGGCAGGCAGGCAGGCAGGCAGGCAAGGCAGGCAGGCAGGCAGGCAGGCAGGCAGGCAGGCAGGGCGGCAGGCAGGCAGGCAGGCAGGCAGGCAGGCAGGCAGGCAGGCAGGCAGGCAGGCAGGCAGGCAGGCAGGCAGGCAGGCAGGCAGGCAGGCAGGCAGGCAGGCAGGCAGGCAGGCAGGCAGGAAGGCAGGCAGGCAGGCAGGCAGGCAGGCAGGCAGGCAGGGCAGGCAGGCAGGCAGGCAGGCAGGCAGGCAGGCAGGCAGGCAGGCAGGCAGGCAGGCAGGCAGGCAGGCAGGCAGGCAGGCAGGCAGGCAGGCAGGCAGGCAGGCAGGCAGGTAGGTAGGTAGGTAGGTAGGTAGGTAGGTAGGTAGGTAGGTAGGTAGATAAGTAGGTCGGTCGCCCCGTCCTTACAACCATCCAATGTCCTCCGGACAGTTACGTCAAGCATCCCCACTGGAGTAGCGATGCCTCCAAGTCCACGAAGCGGAGGCTGAGTTCACGGAGAAATGACGTTGGGAGCGTAACGTCGGTGTAGCGTCGTCCGTTCGGCACCTGTGTCAACAAGCGCTAACAAATTGCCGATCCATTCGACATGCACCGGTAACAGTGGAGTTTGGATGGCTTGATATTTAATCCGGGACTGGGACAATTGACGATACTCCTTGGCATTGTGTTGGCACTGTTGGAGGTTGCCAGGTTGAGCCAGTCCTTGGAATCCTCGAAAATATCACCGTGAAATACCTCTGGTATGCGGGCAGGTCCATGACGATATGCGATGGAAATGAAGTCGCTTGGGTGGCCATTGCAGGGGCTCCGGAACTTACGTCCTCCACTGGTCTCGAAGAATCGAACAGGGCACCAAACTCGGGCTGCTCACCTCGTAGGCGATGACTCGTTCATTGGTGTACGGGAGTCAACAGCGCTGGCTCCAACCTTCGGGGTTCTGGGCTATGTTCCCTATGCTGAGATGGGCTTGGAATCATACCCCACACCTCCACCAGTTTGTA